CTGGACCTAAATAAAAACAGAGTTGATTTTCCTTCCGACTAAGTACTTGGTTTCAGTATCACTGGACTTGTACGCTTCCTCATCACTACGTGTAAGCAAGTAACGGACACCCCAGGCCCGTTACAGCCAGCACATGCCGTTGCGGCTGTCAGTAGTCATTGCGGAGGACAAATCTTCTTTCTGGATGTCTGGATTTTGGCGTTGGGCAACCTCGAGCCACTCAGGCTCCATCTCCAGCCATTCTCTCATGATTCTATCCGCTCTCGCATTGATTTCTGACTCCTTCACCTCTTCTCTGGTCTTGCTCGTTCGAATTGGAGCACCGAGCAGCAGCTCATCTTCATCGTCCCAGTCTGTCGATGACGGAGAGGAAAGGGGGGAATTCACGTCCTGACTGAGTAAGCTGCTCTGCGAAGAGGGCGGCGACAGCGACATCTTGCCCAACTTCGCCATCTGCGCGAACACTTTGCGGTGCTCAGCTCGGAGGTAATCAAGGCCGTTTTTGACGGTAGCCTTTTCCTCTTTGCGCGGGACGTTGCCGACAGCGGCGATTTTCTTTGCACTTGACTTAGTCCGGGGATCGAGAAGTATACACGCCATTGCTTCCTTCGTCACCTTGGGAAATCGTGCTTGTTGTTGTAGTAATGTCCTCCTCAGACATGTCTTCCCTGCTTCCGAGAACTAACCTATTGTCTTCACCGCGCGGCGATGACTCGCTTCATTTGCATCCTTTGCCCGAGGGGCCTCGACGACCATCGCGTCGAACTTGAACGACTTCAGCTTCTTTTCGGCAAGGCGTCGGAATACTACCATGTAGGACGACACCAGATTTTCGCTCTGCGTTTCTGTTAGCGCCAGGTTGGCGATGAAGTGTGTAACGGCCTCCATCTCGGTAGCAAGAGTCCAGTCGTCTGGAGATAAATTTGACCACACGCTACTGGAGTCTTTGGTTGACTGGAAGTACGCTTCGAACGCTGCATAGTTCACCACCGACCGCCTAATGAGCTTGCAAGTATAAGCGACTCTGACGTCCTTGTCGACCATGGGGTCCAGCTCAGGATAGGAGAGAGCTTCTTGAATTTTTTTCAGCGCGTTGCGTTGTTTCGGGGTTGTGAAATGGTTATATAAGTTCCTTAGCTTCTGAATGTCGTCACCTCCATCCTCTAGAGATCCACCAGGAGCTACTATGGTCACCACCTTATCCCAGGAATGGCACGCGGCGTTCCAAACAGTATTCGTTTGAATATTGTCTTTGATCCCAAGTCCATACCCAATGCACAAGCTGAGTAAATGCATTGAGCAGTCCTCTTGCTCGCCGTCGATATGATCGGCGACGTTCCGAGCCGAAGGTGTCGTGTCGAACATAGTGAAGCGAGTCATAGCATTGACGTCGATGTTGTACTTCGCCGTGAATCCACTCTCGATCACCTTTGCAACTAGAGGTGCGTTGTGTCCCTCGTTCTTGACGGTTGCAAGCATTGCAATGAAGCTAAACCGCCACGAAGTATCAATGAAGGCCACCGACGCTTCGACGATACTGTCTTTCCCGCAACTCGTCCAGATATCGTGAAGGAGATTTAAGTATGGAAGACGACACGCTTTTGCGTACTCAGAAGTAAGTAGCTCACCCACAAGATCGCAGAAGAGTTGGAATTGCCCTTGGAGCAACCGGTCATGTCGGTCGCGACTGAGCATCGGGAATGCCGGATTGCCTGTTGCGGCGCGCATCATCTCTTCGAATGGCGCCGATCTGCATACCGGAAATGGTATTCCTTGACTAATTAACCACTTGGAGATCAGCACCTGCAGCGTCTTTTCATTGACTTTGAAGAATTGCTGCGGTGACGTCGCGGCAATAGCCACAACAGATGAACCCGTCATACTAGTCGCCTTAGTAGCCGATGAAGTAGTAGTAGTGTCCACGTTCGAATCAATCGTCAAGTCTAGCACCTCCATAGCTTCAGCTTCAGCGTTAACGACGTCCGCTTTTGCCTTTTGAGTTGTAGACTGCTCCGCTAGCACTGTTAAAGGGCGGTCAGAATGTTTCGTCTTGATATGGTCCTTGGCATTACTGGTATTCTTCGTGCAGCAAAAGCGTCCTCCCAACTGTAAGGTGTGATTTTTTCCGGCCTTTAATCTTCTCGCAACAGAGCAGACAAATGTTGCGATACATCTGTACAGACGGCTTTCACGGGTCCCGCTTCGTGTATGGTTTGTCCAAGACGTGAATGAGATCCTAAACCGAATCCGTAGCTCCAATCTTTCTTAAATGTGAAACCGAAAGCGGCACGCCAAGATCCGAGACCGGTGAAGTCGGTGTCGGAGGGAGTACAATATCTAGACCGCCATCAACACGAATTGTGGTACTCTCCAAAGCCTTGGTCCTTTTTGCCTTCGCTGCTGTCTTGCGCCGCTTCACTGGACGCGCCGATACTGCTGTGTCCGATGTGGAGGCGATCTCCGGAGACGGTAAGAAGTCGGAATTAGATCCAGTCCAGATATTAGTCGAAGCCTTAGAAGAATTAGTCACTGGCCTCTTCGAAGAAGCGGCTACGGCTGGTGTAGAGGCACCTGTGCCAGGGTAAACATGTAGCACGCACGACTGGCTGCAAAACCTGCGACTCAGCAGAACGTAAGCGTTGATATTATACACAAGTTGAATGAAATACCTTTCGTTCATTGCCGAGCCCTCTCCTTCGACCACTCCAATTGCGCACATGTGATGAGTCGGCTTTCCGCATACGCTGCACGGATCCGTTTTGAGATCAGGACCTTCCTCACAATTGGTAACAGCACATGGCATCCTCGGTCGCCGTTTCCAGGTCAGTGATGCGGGCAATGGCGAAATCCAGTCCTTTTAAAAAATGGCGAGCTTCTGCGGGCAACGCAGGACAGCCACAGGTTTATAAGATTGCGAAATGAGGGTCTGTTGCTCGTTGACTGGCTTCATGGAAAATACTACTCCTCAAAGTAATATAGGACCGACTCTGGTGAGTAATACTACTACAAATAGTTAATACCACACTTTGCGGTATTAATAGTAATAGTTCTCAAATAGTATTAGTATCAGTATAACTCTAAAGTAATAGTGTCAAATTACCCTTAACCTCTGATGCCGACAGAGGAGTTCATACATACATGTACTGAGTTAGTACTACTGACATTCTTAAGGGCCAGGTCTCGCCACCGTCGACCGCCTAAAAAAAGACACTGACGGCCAGAAGAGCAGAGCAGTCCGGCACTTCACCGTCCATGTGCTGCTTGCCGTTCAAAGTGTGTATGATACGTTGTTCGCTGTCACCATGCATGAATCTAGCGAAGAAAAAAAGCTGTTAGAACGCAAGTATCAACGTGACAATATTTGTAGGAACCGCGGTTGACGGTAGCCTCGAACGATTTGTTGGATTGGGTCAGGTTGTAATCCGTGCAGCTGCCACTGAACGTGAGCGAGGGAGGCTCGCGGTAGCAGATATCAGACACCTCAGTGTTAATTGGAGACTGCTTTGAGCCAGCGCACATGGGTTAGTGCTCCTCGTGGCCAGCCATGCTAAAATCGTTATGTTTGTAGCCCACGCTGGAGACCCCGCGCCATCGGCAGCAACGGAGGCCGACAAAAGAGTGCACACAACCAGCGTAGTAGTGTAGACAAAGATATCCATCGTCATAGAGAGGCGACAAAGGCTGTTGCAAAGTGGAAATGAGCGTTAAAAGAACGATTCACGCCGCGGTAAGTAGGAGACGAGTTTCTCGATCAAGCAACCATTCACGCGACCGACGCCACAAATTGTAGCGGAGGTATTAAAGCGATGAATAATACGGAACTGCTTACGACAAGCTTTCGGTCGGTACAAGCATGCTGCGCCTTGGTTGTGCAGAGGACGGCGTTTGATATGAATTACCGGATTCGAATTGCCGCGGTTAATTCCTGGCGCCCAGAGTTGACTATTGGTAACGACTTGCATGTACAGTACAGAAATAACCTGCATGTACCGGTTTTTATTGCCGTGATCAATAAAGACAATCCTCTGCATATTGTAGCATATTATCGTAGCATTCATAATAAGATTCAGTCGTTTACCTTTACCTACTGGACACTCGATCATGCATTGAACAGGAACTTAAAACAATGGTTTTTTTAATCACACGTCAGGTAAATATATTTACTATAAAGAAAGCTTAAGATTGCAGATTACACGCATGCTATAAGTGGACGTGTGCTTTGCTGCATCAATCCACTGACAGCAACCTATTATATAGTAAAATAAATGAAAAATCAAAAAAAATTATATTGTTATTATGGTAATAATTTATGCTGGGACTTGTCGTGATTGGTTACTTTCATTCCGATAGTCGCGAGTTTATACGAGTTAGAATGGAGCGATTTCGATGCAAACATGCAGTTTTCGGCGTGAGTCAACAGAACTCCGACGAATTCGACTCGAACATCGCATCGCTGGGGTGACCTCGTGTCAGCACCAAGACGATTAAGCGAGAAATTTTGTGATGCGATACGTAGTGCAACGTGAGTCAACGAAGTGGAATTCTGTCGTGTTCAGTGCTTTTTCTTGTATGAGCGACGAAGATATGCATTACTTTAATAAAATACCGTTAGAACGGCTTCTGACATACAGGTAGAGAACTATGTAAACTCTCTAAAATACAGCGAGCGATGCTTTTTGTCGTCCTATAGGAGTCATAAAAAATGCCTTGCTACAATTATGAGTCGTTAAGACGACGACAAGAAGCATCTCGCGTCGACGTCCATGGAGCAATTATAGATGTCGAATCGCTCAAGTGGATACATGTATCACAGAGATTGTCGAGACCCGAAGGGTGTGCTATTTTTGCCAGAAATACAAAGTAAAAAAAACTCAAGATAATCAACATCTAGCATGTGATTAGCCATCTCATCCCCTAAATTCTTTGATTGGTCGAAATTCACTTCCTGTAGTCAGTCGACGTAATCGGCACATACCTCTTCTCGTCGAGCATGACGCGGCCAGCACGATGGACACGACAGCTTCTGTGTGTGCTATTCATGGTCACTAGCACCCCTACAACCCACGCACAGAGGTCCTCGTCTTCGGCCTCTGTAACCACAGCGCAGACGCTAGCACAAGAATGGTTTCTTTCCAATTTCGACGACAACGAGACGCAACTTGCTGCTGGAGTCAATTCAGCACTGAAAAACGTCACGACCAGCGACGTCATGTGCTACGGAACTCCATCCATACAACGCCGTACCAACGAGGCGAGTCCAAACGGCGGCTGTCCGGCAATCTACACGTCTGTGAACGCATCATGCTCATGTTTGACGTCTGGATACTCAGACTCGGACACGTGGGAGTTCCACGTCACGTTAAGGACCGACAAAGACAGCGCAAAGTATCCAACGACTCTTTCGTCGACAGATATTTTATCAATCGACTCGATCCGCACGCTATTAGTTCCATCCAACCTCACGACGCTGTGAGTGGCTTTTTTTTAGTAGAAAAAAAGAGAGATTGACTCGTGATCGACTACTAGGATAATTATAGGAGAAGGGGTGTATCCACAGACCATCACATTTGTATCGCAGGACCAAAGTCTGCCAGGATCGACGCTGCCCATCGCAAAGACAGTAGACGGAACTATTGGTGTCACTACAGTGTGAGTGAATAAAATTTAAACCAGAAGGGGATATTGTGGTTAAGCTAATTGTGTTGTACTGATAGGACACTTGAGAATATTGATATGTCTTCTATCACCCAGAGCGTGTCCACATTTTTCCCGTCGACGACACGGAACATGTAAGATTACAGTAGAAATTTAGGTTGATAAGTTCTCACGGGCTCTAAACGTTTTTTGCAGCACACTCAGGAACTGTAATATGATCAAGTTTGGCTACGATTTCTTCGCTGGACTGGACAACGTGCGGTATCTGTACGTCCTGGTCTGCTATATTTTATAAAAATCAGAATGCTGACTGTTAAATTAGGGATATGTCGTCAAACCATTTGACAGCTGCGTACGTTGGCTCATCCATCGCCCACTCCTGCTCCAACCAGTTTTGTGCAGTCGAAGCGTTGTACGTACCTCTCATATCTTAGTCTTTGTATGATGGCTATTATATGTATGAATCCACGTGTTAGTCTTTGTATGATGGCTATTATAACACGTGGATGTTACGTAGAAACCTTACGAAAAACAGCATTTCAGTTTTCCCGACTGTGGTCTTCAACGTCGACAACTTGCAGGAACTGTGGGTGTCGTTTGACTTTGTTTTTATCATTTATTTTTCTAACGACTAAATATTTTTACGTAGATATATCGCAGACAACGACATCTCAGATTTTACCGTCAGCTCGACGGTTTTCAGCGCCATCCAGGCTCTAGCAGCGTTCGACTCGGATCTTCCTGACGAAGCAGCAACGTGCACGGACGGAACATTGCAAACTGCACACAATCGCAAGTTTTGCGTCACCAATAGCTCCATTACTACAGGTACACTCGAATATCTCGACTTAAATATTTAATTTTTATACTTATTTATATTATATTGTTACAGCAGACACATCTTCAAGCGATTCCAGCTCGTTGACTATCGCCTTGGTGAGTGGAGGGTGTTTTATTGTAATTATTCTTGTTGCATTCGGTGCCCGAAGATACGTCTCGCGCAAGAGATTCCAGCGCCTATCTTCTTCCAAGAATGATTTTTATTCTCAAGAATTCGGCGATACTCTAGATTTTGACGACACTCAAGTCGAAGTGGATGCAGTCTTCCTTAATGACCCCGTGATTGTAACCAACCGAATCGATCATAAGCTGCTAAAACTGGGCCAATGCATCAGCAAAGGAGGCTTCGGGTTGGTATTTTTGGGCGAATATAAAGGTCGTCGCGTGGCTATCAAGAAAATCCGCCCTGACCGCAGTGTTACGACCGCGGAGATCGAGACTTTCCTTAAAGAAATTATCATGATGGCCGTGTTGTATCATCCGCGAATTGTGAAGTTTATCGGCGTGGCGTGGGATAATCTACGACATTTATCCGCCGTCACCGAGTTCATGGATAATGGCGATCTGCGCGAAGTGTTGCATGGATATAAACTGAAAGGAGAGCAGCTCTCCTGGGAGTCACACAAAGCCACAATCGCGCTGCATATTGCAGAAGCGTTGGCGTACCTTCATGCCCTCAAGCCGAAGATTATCCATCGAGACTTAAAATCCAAAAATGTGCTTCTGAACATGTATCTGGAGGCCAAATTGAGCGATTTTGGCATATCTCGGATGCATTATCTGGTCGAAACGCACATGACTGCGGGTGTGGGCACGTCCTTCTGGATTGCACCCGAAGTTTTACTCGGTCGAGATTACGATGAAGCCGCGGATATTTTCTCTTTCGGCGTGGTTTTGTCGGAAATCGACACTGACGATTATCCGTATTGGAACGACGAAAATCCGTCGAATCGGGGAAAAATCCAAGAAGCGGAAATTTTGAGTTTAGTGGCGGAAGGAAAATTGCGTCCAAGCTTCTCGAAAGATTGTCCCAAGGCGATTTTAGACCTGGCAGATTGTTGTTTACAGAAGAAACCGGAGGCTCGCCCCACTGCGGCGGAGATTGTGGTTATCCTTGAGCACATGATACACGCGTCGGAGCGCAGTTCCTCCTCGCTACACTCGGGAGCATGGTCGGTCACAAGCTCGGACGTGGGGATCTGATGACACAGTTTTGAGTTTTTGCTTACGCACAAAAAGCAATATAATTATTTGTCGATAAAATTTTGTCGGATACTGATAAAGTATGACGTCCTAGCCCAAAGTCCACACACAAAGCCCGTTGGGTAGGTCGCATACTGAAAAAAAAATCATTAGAGACCTGGTTTGTATCGTGTTTAGCATTCATTTATTGAGAGCTCATTGAGACTCTAACGGCGTGCAGCATTCCTCTACTATCGGTAGTTCGGGCTAATTTCAGGCAAGAATAAGACGTGTTGATGAATGCGGTCCGTTGCTGCGTGCACTATAATAGTTTTTACTATCGTCTTTAAGATAAATATAGCTGAGCTCGCATAATTGATATAGCTTAATATCATCAGGTATGGCAAAACTATGTGACCCACCTAAATATCATCTTCAATTTCGCGACTTCAGTATGGCACAAACCCGAGCTGTTCTCCTTCTGCTCGCGGCGCTTTGCTTGCGTCACGCTCTCTCACAGTCCACTCACAATGAGCCTGTACCGTCACGACCCCAACCTCCAACCTCCCGTCTGCCGCTTCGTCTACAGATGCGAGATCTGTGCTCAAATTTCGTGACAATATGTGACTTTGTGTCGGAGCATTGCAATCCCGAAGCTAAAACCCAACCTTGGATAAAAAACCCACCAAGCATTGATGCAAAACCCAAATGCATCGAGAGCTTCAACTTGTTCTACCAGCACAACAATACTTTGACCAGCTGCATCCAAGATTTACCCGCGCAATCCAGCGAAAAGACCCAAGCACTGCTCTTCCTAAAGTTCTACTCAACCTGGCAGCAGCAAAATGCCTGCAGACTATTCCACGCCACGGAGGCCAAGGCAGCTGCTGAATGCTCTGGTGTGAACGCGCATCGACCCTGGATACAAACAACGTGGCCTTTGTATTGCCACGAAGTCTTCACAATGTACAACAGCACACGACACGAACTGGACGAGCTTTGTGACCGAACTCCTAATTCTGAGACGTTCTGGGAAGGATACGTGGACTATATCGGCTCCAAGATATGCAAACACTACTACGACATGGTGCGAGAAGCGAGAGACCAAGGGTGCGGACAAAAACACAAGGCGTTGTATGCCACCGAGTGTCGAAAAATGTTCCAGTGGTACGTGGACAACAAAGAAGTGGTCGAGACAGACTGCTTCGAATTGAAGGCCAGCAAACCCTTTTATAAGGGATTCTACACATGGAAGAAGCAAAACGGAGCTTAATAAAGGGACGTTTTTAAATGTGAAAGGCTGGCAGAATTTTCTATATTCAATAACGTGCTCTTGAAAGGTCGCCTGCTTTTCCAGATATCAAGAGATGGAGACGGCGGCGGTGTGCGTATTGCTGCTCTTTGTAGCACTCAGAGTCGTTCATACAGGTACAATATCTACTGCAGCTTACCGCTTAAGTGTGACGCTCACTTTTTTGATTTTACGGACCACATAGGGTTTGTGTTTTATGATTTCAACGGAACCACAGGCTTAGTGCTAAACGGCAAAGCTGCTACGAGTAGCTGCGCACCCTTCAAGCCAGTACGAAACTCTCGCAGTTCTTTTGCTGAGAATAGTAATTAAATGCTGCGTCGATTTCTAGACTGATTACTCGAAATATGCTGGCACTGCTGATACGCGAGAAGCAACACTAGAAGTGACTCTTACCGAGCATCTAGAACATATCCGTCTTGAGACTCGAGACACGGAGAACCACACAACGAGTCAACGAATCGCAGTGGAGACTGCCATGTTGGGCCATCGTGACGTCTTCGAAGCGAGTGAGGAGAAACGTCGATGTCCTGTGCGTCTGCGTCTCACAGCCTCACAACCACATCAGGTCTCGTCCGTGTGGTATACGCAACAGCTTCCAGTTCTCCAGGGCTTCGAGACGAGGTTCACTTTTCAAATCACCGATCAGTCGAAACGTTGCTTCGAAGTGAAAGATCAAAACTTTGGACTCCATGAATACCGCAGCTGTGCAGTTCACGGGGGCGACGGCTTTGCGTTTGTGCTACACTCGCATCCAAACCGCACAGAAACATTAGCGTCAAAGGGATCAAATATGGGATTCTCGGGCCTTCAGAATTCATTGGCTGTCGAATTTGATACGTGGTATAACGACGAAAACGCTGGAGAAGATAGCTTCTACGACCATGTAGCCATATACTCCCGTGGCCAGGATAGTAACAGAGACTCTGAAAGCGCACGGATATCTGCGGCTGCTGTACACGACCTCGCAGACGGCAAGGTGCATGTTGTCAAGATCCGATATTATCCTGAGCTGAGGGTATTTTTTTTCTTTTTTAATTTTTTTTTTTACTATTCTTGTTGACACAGCTGTGACTGTGTAAACCTTAGTATAACTACATGCCATACTTCTCCGCGACAGAAAATCTAGCCAAGTTTATTAAGGATGTGTCGGAAGGTCGAAGGGTGGGGACTTTACTCGTGTTTATGGACAATGGGATCAACGACGATAAACCCATTTTGGCTATCCCGATCAACCTGGCGGCAACGCTAAGGTTGGATTCGGATGAGGCTTTTGTTGTACGTTGAGCTTATAATACCCTAAGGGTAACATCACGACAGTAAGCTGACGATATATGCTGCGTAGGGATTCACGGCGTCAACTAGCAGCTCGTGGCAGAAACACGATGTGCTTGGCTGGTATTACTGCACAGAGGTAATCTATCATGCGCTATTCTGTTAAAGAAATTGTCACTAACAAGTTATCGCTGTAGCCACCTTGTCTGGACCAGTACGATGCCGAGATGACATTCGACTTCGACTACAACGAGCAGTCGATGCTTTCCACAGCTTCGTATAGCAACACTCTTTACCCGATCTTTATCTACCCGGACACGGTGTCGTGGTCTAAACGTCAGGCATATTTTGCGTCCAACCAGAAGGTCGGACTCGTCTCGTGACAAATATTCGCAGCCTCGGTGAAGCGACAGAGGCACTGGCTGATCTGGTGACTCATTACTATTTTCTAAAAAAAAATAGTTTCTTCATGAAGTCATGCTGTGCACTACCGTTTATAAAAAAAACAAGACTTCACTGCTAAATACTTTTAAAAAAATCTAATGATGTTTAACCATTAAAAAAATCTGCTAGGATGGCCAATCAATAATCAAATAACGTTACCGGATGGACATGTAAAGTCGTTAAGAAATCACTGGCACTCTGTTTTCGATTGGCATGGGGTGTAACGGTATTGACAACGCTACGCAGTCGCGTACCAAACGAGGTGATATATATTTCTTTCTTTTTTCATTCTTCCGATGGAAAAACTGAAAGAAAAGTGGCGTCTAGTTGTAGCGGGTGACGGTACGGCCGTTTAGAGGCTGAACCGGGCGCGCGTTGTTGCCCTTATCTGTAATGTGGTACTCAACCAGGTCCTGGTGAAGACGTCCGAAGTCGATAGACGAGATCTTGATCGGGTTCTGTACCACCCACCAGTCGGCGGTCTCGTCGCAACCAGGAGTCGTAAGGCTGCCAGGATAGTTGTAGACGCCTCCAGCTCTGATGGACTTGCGGATCAACGACGAGTACGATTTCCTGTGAAGCAAGAGCGTAGATATCGTTAGCAAGAGGGCGAAGGATTACAAACGTGCATCGATTAATACACTTACAGTTGCACGATGACCGCCGCGGAGCGCTGGTCATCCGAGTTGACGTTCCCAAGAGCATCAAGCACAGGGCCAACCCACGGGTCAGACTTTGGGGCGACCTGGAGGAAGATGCCCAGCACCAGAAGAGCCTTGCCATCGGCAGCTTTGTGCACGAAGTGGATCTCACCGTCCAGAGATTTTCCGTTTATCGTGTGCTCCGAGGGAGCGTGGAGGTGGAGCTGGGCCATTTTGTACGGGACATCGTTAACTGAGACAGCACAGTTGCCTGCCAAACACAACGATACAATTAAAATCGAGTGCATCTCATCATTTGAGACGCGTCTCAACTATACCTCCAACGACGTCAACCTCAAGAGGCTCGTGGGGCTCCGTCAGGTTGTACGTGGAGCAGCGCCCCGTGAAGCTGAGCGGCACCTTCTTGCCTTTGCCGGACTTCGGAGACGTGACGATATCGATTGGTGACTGACGCTTCCCACCGCACGCAGCCCACTTATCAGCCCACGCATTGGTGTTCACCATAGTGTCATCGTTGGCACGATAGCCCCACACGGTATTATTGGCAACGTCAGCGGAGACGGTCAGAGCGCAGGCAGCAATGGCCGCAGCGACGGTGGTGATGTACTTCATTGTGTCGGAACGCAAAAAGATCGGAAGTTGTTGCGTTGAGCGTAAATTGAGGAATGAGGAACTTGGAGCGTTGCATTGCGATGGAAAAACGCCCTATATCACGCGAGGAGCCAAATCGGGATCGGATGCAATCCATGATAGCAGCAGGTGGCACCTGCCTGAATATGGTATTATTAATAATATCATATTTGTACGGCATACCGTATGCCATTACGGCATTGCCATACTGTACTGTCCTCGAAAGTTTTCCAACTGCAAAAGCGGCTGCTTTGAGTCGAAACAGTCTGTGCAAATTGCACTGCAATCGGCTATCGCGACGACAGTTGCATACAATTCATTGATACATGTACTTCAGAATGAAAACAGTACAGTACGCGTACTGTTGATGGCACTGTACAATACTGGAATTTGAGACTGCCGGTATTGACACCAATCTGGGTGTACTCGGTATATGTTTACCAGACCTCTTTCATACGAAAAACGGCTTATAGATAGTGCGTGCAGAATAAGCCAGAATCATATCACACCTTATACATGTAGGGTTGATGGAAGGTGTCGGGCTGAGATAGGGTCTGTAAACTTTGGGGATTTGTAGTTTAATCACAGCCGCATTAATTTTTCGATATAATTTCAGAGTTTTATTAAAAGTACGCGTACTCCTAAAAAATACTTGCATTATCGTACGCTTCTCAAGATACAGATGATCACTTTGTATTTTTTAATTCCTCTGAAATACTACTCGGTAAGCCATTAATTAATCGTGCATGACACGCGGCGATAATGATGTTTTAAAACATATAGTTAATCGTTCTTAAGTACGATTTGCAGACAAATTTAACGGTTTACAATCAGACCACTTGATATTGATAAATGTTGTCCTTATTAAAGTTTCTAATGATAAATATCTCAATCGGATGTTAAGAAGCCTATACAGCATTTATGTATATGCATTTCAGCTTGTCTTCTAAGGTACATGTACTGTACAGCACATATAAATACCTGTACATGTACCGGTACCGTTGAAGTGCAATGATTACGGCAAGATAAATCGATTACGACGATTATAAGCTGGTACACGATCGCGAAACGAGCGATACGTAGTGGCCTTTATTGCATTTTCTTATTCTCCACTCACTAACTAATACAAGAAAACCACAGCGGAATAAATAGGGACATTTCGGGGAAAGCCACAGCATTGTAGCCAAAACTTACGTCTGGATTGATCCTATCAAACGTTTGATACATGGGCATTCCGTAAGTACCCTTTTCAGCCAGAATGGTCCCTATAAGACCCCCGTGTCAGCCATCCCCATTAATTTCGATCCGACATGCCCCCCATCGCTTTAGCTACGACACCCGAAGCCTGCACAAGAGCAGTGCATTTGTTAAGACATGGTGCTCCACCTTGCTGCAGCTTTAAATGGCCACTCTGGAAGGACAATGGTGTCACGCAGACAAGGTGCTGGATGCAGGTACATCGTCGGTAAAAATGTATTTATCGGCAGGATCTTAAAGCGCTACAGGACCGGTGACTGGAATGGTAGCCCATCTAGCCACTGCAACGCGAAATCTAGTCGCAAATGGTCTCGCGAAAATCCCGTGGCGTACTGGCACGGAGGCGTTTTTACTATAGGAAATCGCCTCACCATCATTATACTCTAAATACTCACTAAAACAGTCGAAATGCTCAGCTCTGGCTGCTTACAGGGAAATACCTAAAAAAAACGATAATAATACTGAGAGTCTTTCGAGATGAAGACAGTATATTTCTGTAAAAATAAGCTGTCAAGAATTTTCAAAGCGCTCATACCTTTACGTGGGGGACCAGTGGCTGTACGTGACCTACTGCTACCATATACAAAGGCCTCTGTTACATGAAGTTCCATTACGATATAATAGTTGGAAAAACGTGTACCGTATTCCTTATGTGATTGGCGACAGTCACATTCTTACGCTTAGCACACGACTCGAAATTTAATACAATTTGATTGGCTGCTGGATTTGTCGCTAATGACCAAGCGTCGCCAATCACATAAGGAATACGGTACCCTGTATAAAAAGGATGAAACTCTAAGGCCCTTGTTCAAGTGGAGAACGCGTTCTGAAAAGGAATATAGCCTGGGATTTTATTTGCTGAAATTTAAACGGTACAATGTACCACTTTAAAAATTGACGTTCTGAAACACTTGTTCTGGGAGCTTCTCAAGCAGGCGTTCTGCCCTCAGCCCATTTGTGCCATGGACGACGCCACGGCCGCCATTCTAGCAGTAGTAGTAGCTGCAAGCGTGAGCGCTGTAATTGCCACGGCAGATAAGCGCGATTTACGACGGCCACCCAAAGCCCCCAGGACGTTTAACACTCGAGCATTCGAGACAGCTCTCCGCACTCCGGGAACAGGATGGTTCCACGACAAGCTTCGGTGTGACAAGAAGTCTTTCCTACGTATCTACCGATTAGTGCACGCTGCGTGGGGCCGTGAGCCCGGCCCCAACACCAAGCCCCCGTCATTAAGCGCGTGGCGCTCACGATGCTCTACCTGACCAAGGGTGGTACCATGGACCAGGCTGCAGCGGCGCTGGGCATCTCCAGGCCTCTACATTAACGATACCCTGGACGTGCTCAGTGCCATGGCGAAATCTATTATCTCCATGCCGCCAGCAGAGGAGCTGGCAGCTGTTGAAGATGGCTTCTACGCTTCGGCCGGGTTTCCCGACACTATTGGCGCCGTCGACGGTACTCTCGTCCGTATTGCGCGCCCACACGACTTTGAAGGCTGGTACTGTCGCAAGAATTTCCCCGCAGTAAATGTGCAAGCTATCGTAGACCACCGTGGTCTGTTCCGGTCCATTTCCATTCAATCGGGGTCAAACAACGACCAATCGCTCTGGAATGGATCGGGAGTGAAGAAAAGGTAAGGTTCAGGCATTTTATTGTCAACATTAAATCTAATTTTGATGATGTATCTGTAGGATTTCTAGCTACGTGCCTCCCGGAAAGCATTTGCTGGCGGATGCCGGCTACAAAATCTGGGGTCATATGCTGACCCCATTTCTGGAGGCAGACGTTATGCAAGATCCTCAAAAGAGGCGATACAACAAGGCCCATTCCAGGACTCGAATCGTCGTAGAGTGCGCCTTCGGGCGTTTAAAAAACCGTTTCCGCGTATTGCTGGGCAAACTGGAGCAGAAGACGTCAGATCGCATTTGCTAAGTTATTCTGGGTTGTGCTGTCTTACATAACATGCTTACCTTTATGCGAGACGGATTGCCAATTCATGGTGACGACCCACTACTACAAGATGCACCTACTCCAGCCAGCGAGGATCCAGTCGAAAGAGAGCAAGCGGTTTGACACTTTAGTTTCCTATACTTGAGCGATACCAGCATGCAAATAATAATTTTAGCTAATGGTAGTGAATAAACGCAAGTCCAATCAATGCTAGCGCCGTTTTGGTTTTGGTGTCGGCACCCTCGAGCCGGCGCTTGACGTCCCTATCAGAGAAGCGCAGTCGAAGCAGCTTGCCAACCATCTTCTTGGTCCACTTGGCGCGCTTGACCTGGCTCTTGGCTTCTTCCGTTGCTTTGCCTTTTAATTTTGCCTTAGTCTTACGCTTTGTCACTACAGGAACTGTAGCCGCAGCTAATTTTGGAGTATCCACGACAGTTGAGGGCGAGCTGTTGGCTGCAGGTGAGTGTAAACAGCTTGGCTGTGGTAACACCAAGATGCTTGGCGTCCTTGTTGAGGCAGCTGACTCGGTGCCTAAGAAGGGCGGGGGCAGCTCTCCAGTGCACATGCCAAGACTGGCGAGGAGACTCGGGTGCCCTTCGGGGCTGGCAGGTCTGGTGGCATCGGATGAAAACTGCTTGTGACCAGTCAGACGAGGCTAACTGAAGTTTGGACTTGGACAGCTCGTGGCACACCGTGCCGAGCTGTAGGCTCCCGTCCAGTCAAGCTTGTTTTAACCCTAATCTATTCTCAACCAGGAACGCGTTCTCCACCTGAACAAGGGCCTAAATGCAAATACTGGAGTGTAACGATTTAAAAAAAGTGATGATCTTTTTTGCTACAAATGTTATTGTGGCGATTTAAAAAAAGTGATGATATTTTTTGGTACAAATGTTATTGCTACAACTACCTTTTCTTATTATATTTGGTTAATTTTTACAGAAGGTAGCACGAGTCCATTCTTTGTCCAAATTCAGTCCAAAATCTGTCCAAATTGCCTCGCGTTTAATCCGAAAATAGGAGAAACACACGCCCATCGCTTGGACACACGGGGCTGGGCGACGTGGGCGCCATAGCGCGGCGCCGCGCGGTATTTGCAGAGACGGGCCCAGCGCTGAGCTCACCAGCGAGCCGATCACTACAGTTTCCAGTACATTCGATCTCCATATTGCGAGCGCAGCGAGGCGCGACTGGTCCATTTTCTGCAGCTGCATTTACTGCTTCAGCACACAGCAAATCATTTGACTTGACTTTTGTATTGTTTTGACCCTCCGAGTGTCGCAATAAGATATAATTGTGTTCGGCATGTTCAGTCGCGAAAGAATTAAGAGTATGCGGTCGAGGCTTGTAGTATTGAGTGTTAAGAGGCAAGGAAATCCGAAAGTGAGTTTTATTGAGCTAGTTGTTCTTGTCTTGCTTTGCTAGCTCCTTTCTACTTTCCTCTGTAGTCCTCCTTATCACATGTAAATCTATACACAAAAGATACATTTCGTCGGCAACGCCTATACTCGTCATAACCGTTGGCGACGAAAATCACTTAAGTTTTGTATGTGGACTGGATATACACAAATTCGACCCTGGCATTAACCATGCCAATCATTTAAGATCAGCCAATTAGCTATCTCCATTCGACCCACTTCATCTTATGACCCCTCAGGGCACACGCTTGCCACGCACCAACCGCGTGCTCCAGGCGCGTGCCTAGAGGTAAAAAAAAACCAGGCGAAGTGACGGCGAAGTGCAATCACACTACCCTTCCCCCACTCAATTCGACGTCTCGAGCTTGACGATCAAATTGCTCTTCATCGTCAA